TCCCAGACCACGTCTCAGTGTCAATGAGACGTGGTCTGACGTTAGCCAGGCTATGTAGACCTGCTAATCAGACACTGACCATCTGACAAAATTACTCATTTAAAACTGTTTCTTAAGGTGTCTCAGTTTGACATTGTAACCTCCTAATGAGCCAGCAGATGGAAGATCTTTAGGCCTGTATGCCTACAGGTGTGAAGGGGTCGACCCTGGCAGCTTGTGCTCAACGAGCTTCCTGAAACTGGATCTGTTCCCCTGAATCTTCTGCCTTATGTTTCATGAAGTCACAAGTCAAGTCAATGTAAGTCTGCCTGAAGATAGATTAATATTCCTCGTCCTTTCTTCAAGATATTATGAAGATATGATAATGTACAGATGATCTACAGAGGGATGGTGAGTGTATATGTTATAAATGCTCCTGTTAAGGTTTCCTCCTTTTGTGTTACTCAACCTCTGGCGTGAAGGGCTGGATTCGCAGTCACGAGAGCGTCATCATCCCCCGTTGTGATGCCCAAGGCGGTGGTCAAACATGATTTCCCGGGATTAGCAATGGTCATGTGACTGCTGGAGCTGTCCATGTCTTATGATATCAAACTCCCAGAGACTAGATTATTTGTTAGGAAGCATTAAACAAGGAAACTATTCTTATTCCTGTATTAGTACACCCATGTTTTTTTTTTTCGTCTGCCTTTTGTTGCAATCTTATTCTTATACAATAACTAAGCTTCTAAAAAATAACTGTCTGGCATTTGGGAAACAGTCGTTGGTGTTTTTTTTAGCTCTTTTCTTTACAGACACGGCATTGTCTTTGTAATTCAGTGTTAAACCATTTTTGGAGTGTGCATGTGATCCTTTTCTGTATGCATTGTTGAGTGTGTTTCTTTTGCATTCAGCCGATCAGTAAAGCTTATTTTAGTAAGTGAACCTAATGTAGCAAGCTGAATTAGTTTGGATGTAATTTGCATAATTCAGTCTTTTAGTCAGTAAGACTTTTCAATACTTCTATTCAGCAAGGTCACATTAAATTGACCAAAAGGGACAGTAAATACATTTAGCCTATATAATGTTACAAAATATTTATATCACAAATAAATGCTGTTCTTTTGAACTTCTTCAAAGAATCCTGAAAAAAATGTAGTAAGCTAAAAACAGCATAACTGTTTTCAACATTGATGATAAAATATTTCTTGAGCATCATGTGACACTAGAATTTTAATTGCTTGCTTGACTGTATTTGATTAAAAAAAATTGACAGCCCAGTGTAGACATTTTTACACAAAACTAAATATTGAAAATCTGACAATGCTAAATAGGTAAAATGTTGCAAGACGAGGTCATGTGACTAGAACAGTAACAGTTTGAAATGATGTGTCAGTGCGAGTAGGTACAGTATTCTATTCCACTCAGCTCTTGTTTAAAATAAAATAGCTTTAAACATCACCAAAAAAATGCAAATGCATGGAAACATAGAAACCACATGGATAAATAAAGAAACGTCATGACATTTCGCACAGTGCAAACATTGTTCTCTCTTTACACCGACCGTTACAGACACATCTGTGCAAAAGCTGCTCTGATGCGTTTATTCAAATACCCACGTGACGTCTGATTCTGAATTCAGCTTCTGATCTCGACCGCCACATACGTCGATGAAAATGATGATTGTCTAGAAGAAAATCTCTGCCTGCCCACCTGAAAAACTGCAGCGCAGACCCCACCATCAACCCCCACAACAGAGTCACCTTAATTTTCCATGGTCTGAGTTGCCATGGAAACATTGGTCCTCGTGTCAGCCAGACTAGATCATTTAACCCTTTCAGGTTTTTTTTTTTTTACTTCATTGAAAGGCTGGATGGGCGTCATCTTCAGCAGTCAGGCTGTATATCATCAGTCATCTAATTATACATAACACTCATGAAGACTAATTAGTGTACCAATCAATTGGTCTATCCTTATTGATTGAACTCACAAATGGCTGAGCGGCTTCCTGTTCTTCCTAAACCTATTTTCCCAGCGTAAATAAAATGAGGCAAAACTGTCTTTGCGGGTGTAAGAGGACCCTGCATGCTCCTGGTCTGGTTTTAAAAACATTTATCTAGTCATTTTTAAGAATTGCATTAGTAGTTAGGCTATGCTATTCCACAATAAACATGTGAAAGGCCGGCGCTGGTCATTTATGAATTGTTGCGTAGAAACTCGTACATTTGATCTATCTACATATTATTTCTCACATAGCCGATGCGTACGTTTGATTCAGAAGAAAAAAATGTGTACGCCTCTCTTCCAGAAGTGATATTTATGAATCGCAGATGATCTTGAAATTGTGCGCAGGCAGCGCAGCTGAATGGTTTCAGATCTCCGCCTTCTAAATGCCACCTAATTAATGTCACTAACATATAAAAGAGCAGCAGACAACGTCCGAATCCTTTACTTAAGAATGGTGAACGGCAAGAATGGCTTGGATTTTCAAATAGGCCTACATGCAGTAGCTACACCGACTCTCTGCCACAAGGAAAAGACCCTTCAGCTTAGAACCTGACGTGGCGCTTTTCCCAGTAGCACCTCATTGCAGTACACGAGATCCAGGGGGCGGAGTTGGATCCAGATCAAAGGGGTGGAGATGGGTGGGGTTAGGGATCAGGGGGTGGAGATGGGTAGGATAAGGGGTGGGGTTAGGGATCAGGGGGTGGACATGGGTAGGATTAGGGGTGGGGTTAGGGATCAGGGGGCGGAGATGGGTAGGATTAGGGATCAGGGGGCGGAGATGGGTAGGATTAGGGATCAGGGGGCGGAGATGGGTAGGTTTAGGTATATGTAAGGTGGGAGGAGTTGGATCTGGATCCAACTCCTCCCCCTGGATTTCGTGTTCTGCAGTGAGGACCATCTCGCTTTTCCACTTCAAAGATAAATATGATTGAACGTTGGCGTTGATTTTATCGTACCGTACGCACACTATTTTCAGTTTAATATCAGTAATTTTCAGTATTTTCCTGGTTAACCAAAACCTAAAAAAATACAATAACAATAACGTTACAATAACGTTCTACAAACCAAAAATTAACGTTCTATTTCCGTTAGGAATAGGTACTTTCCTGGCTAACCAGGGGAAGGTTAGAATAACATTATTGGAACGTTAAAATAATGTTAGAATAACATTCTAATCTGGGTAGGCCTATATGTGATCTGGGCAGGCCTATATGTGATCTGGGCATCTCCATTTCCTCATTCATTTTCACATTCCTTTGTTGCTTTTATTAGGATCTTACTGAAATTTGGCTTTTTAAATCGATTTACGGTTTGCAGGAAGGATCACATGCTTTGAATTTGTTTCTCTATCTTCATTGTCAGCTGGCAGTACAGCCTCCACTCGCCATTTTAGACTACTTGATCTTCTATAAATTATATTTTTGTTTCTTCAATAACTCTGCAGATGGGATAGAAATAATTTAGCAAATTGCTGCTCCAGCAATAACACAGAACAAAAGCCTCATTGATGGAGTGGCCGCCAGCGAAAAGAAAGAAAAAAAAGATGGAGTTGAGGTCTCAAGAGAAAACCAATTTCTCTCATTTTGAGCTCTTCTGCAGCCGGGTAAGCTTTCAAAACAAACTTTTGGAGCTGCGGTCATACTTCAGCAAATTCTGCAGTCAACCCTTGTGACAATTAGCTAGATAAAGGCATATCACAATCGTTATGGTCGTTTTGCCACTTTAAAAGAGAATCAATATTTTTGAATCTTAATTTTTTAGAATTAAAAACAAAAATCACTTACAGAGTTTCATATTCAAACCGTATTTATTTCCGGATTTCATTTGTACCCATGGTACATGAGGAAACATAACCATAATATCAAAACAATATAAAAAGACATTTGTAAAGACTTTACAAAGTATAGATGTGGAATGTCTCCCCCCTCCCATAATGGCCTTCTAATGCACAGTCATTATCATTCCCTTAGCAATGCCAGATCAATATTCAAGCTGTAGTATAAACCATTCTTAAATAATGAGCAGTTATGCTCAAAGTGGCTGTGTTAGTTTGATGTACACCTGAAATCTAATTAAGCACCAGTTTAAATCTTTAATTGATCAATCTTGTGTGTGGTGTTAATGTCTTCCTTTTGGCTTTTTCACTGAGGTCTTAATGCACTGTAATGTGTGTGAGTGTGTACAATGGAACAAGGTTTATGATAATGTCTGTGCCTTTTCAAAAACAGCAGCAAAGTGTAAGGTGACATTTCCAGTGACTTTTCCAGATCAGACCACTACACGAGTCGAGTGAACACAGATCCCCGCCATTCCTTTGGGATTTGTCAGGATCAAGAGGAAAAGTGGTTTAAATTGACCATAAATACTGTGTTGAACCTGCAACAACATACCTCACGTTGGTATCACACACCCACAGCTGCACGGCACACAAATTACTGATGACATCACTTTTGAGTTGCAGAAAACATTTCCAATTTTAATATCTATTTCCCCCCCACCCATTTACAATTCCAGGCACATCCCTTATTATGAGATGAGGGACTGTACGGTACCAATCCAGTTCTCTTGGTTTTCCTCTTTTTAAACATTAAAATTATTTCTAATGGCACAGATAGTGAGGCAGTTCCATCACTGCCGTACTTCCAATACGAAAAACAAAACAGTGTAGCTCATGGCCCTTTCAGTGGTCCAAGAGCTTCCTTCATAACTCTTGTCAAGTGTATAGAACAAGAAGAAAAAAAAAGAAAAGAAAGAAAAGAAAAAAACAGAAACATTCATACATTTACCTGTAAATATTACCTTTGTCCTAGGATCATGAGGGTAGGTACTTATGACTGGCAATACAGTGGGAGGCATTACATCATCAATAGCTCACAGTCACAAGGTTCTTTAACATATTTCGCTGTGTGTTAATATTAAGAGTGTGAGGCTCATACAGGACTGTGCAAAGACGAGGGAGAGGGATCACACTACAATCTGGTACATCAAAATCCTGTGGGTCGACGTGTGGGACCCGACCTTCCAGAGAGTGGACCGATTTGAATGCCAGTCAAATATTAGGACAGATTAAGAGATGACACAAGGTGTGCTTGAACCACACAACACAAATTTGGATGCCAGTTAAGTCCCAGAAGTCCCAGTTGTGGCCACTCGTCGTCAATAAAAACCGCGCAACATTGCGGTAATGTTGTGGCACACAAACACTGGAGTATTTAGACATAATAGAGTATACGTGACTAAAGTAAGCCCCTTCACCTTTAGGTTTTTCTCTGCTATTGGCCCCTGTGCTCACTCATATTCAAAAACCATATTCAAAATGCATAACAGAAAGGGGAAAAAAGAAACAAAAAACTGGAAAGAAAAAGCCACAGTGGTTACTTAAGTGCTTTTAGTACTCCCACATAGTGGAGGCGTCCAGATCATCGGCGTTGGCCTTCAGAACACCTGCGTGATCGCCCTTGAGATATTTCCCCTCGGCTGACTTGATGGCCACTTTGTTGTAGTCGCAAAACTCGAGGAAGAAGTCCACCGGGGTGTCGCTACTGCTGATCACGCTCGATTCACTGGCCACCATCCAGTACTTCCCTGTGGAGTCTGAGAAGAGATTCAAGGGTTCAAGGAAAGTCTTAAAACCTTCAACAAGGTAAAGTCAAAATTGAAACATTATTAAAGTGCAAACAAACCTTGTAAGCTGTAGGCTCCATCTCTAAACTCCAACCCAAAGACATCATACGAGGAGCGGTTGGAGTCCAGGGTGCCCGTCACCTTCCTGCAGCCAATGAAGCCATGCTCCCCTCTCAGCACGATGAGGGGCCTATTGATGAGCTTCATCAGGAACTCCTCGCTCTCACCTGTAAAAGCCATTTCTCAAAATCAAGGCTCACAATAGTCAAGCAGCAAATGTTTGTGCTATTGATGTGCTTCATTTAACATGGCCACAGATTGAGTGGCAATCCATCAGCATACGGTCTACTAAATCGCTGCAGCGTTGCCAAACAAAAGATTGAAAATAGTGTACAGCACTCCACCCCACCTGCTGAGTCAATAGTGGCAGCAAGCTGTCCATTCTTTTTGGCAGCCACATATTTTTCATTGGCGGCACGCAGGGTTATCTTCTTCCCACGCCACTCAATGTCAAAATAGCAGTTAGCAGACCTGGGTGAAGAGATTATGCATGAAACTATGAAATATAAATCTGGAAACGATACTCCGCATTCATACATCGTCATCGTAATTATCAAAACCTTAAAACAGAAAAACACAATGTTTAAAAATTGCTGCATGTAGATAGTTTTACTGCAACACAGAATGTGTTTGTGAAGGAATAGTGCTCTTATTATATTACATTAACAATTAAATAATTTTAAATGGCATATCAGCTTCCAAACTGGGAGCCAGGTAAAAAAATTGCTAGGTAAAAATATACTTTAATTAAATTAAAAATTAAATACTGCTAAAAAGTTTGGGTTCAGTGTTTAAGAAAGAAAGAAAGAAAGAGCAAGCTTTCTTTCACAGGGACTAAATGTATAAAAGTGACAAATTTGTGACATTATTAATGTCTTTAATATTTCAAATAAATGCTGTTCTTTTGAACTTCCTATTCAAACAATCCTGAAAAAAAGCATCACGTTTTCCACAAAAATCTTAAGCAGCTGTTTTCAACATTGATAATAATTTAGAAATGTTTCTTGAGCAGTAAATCAGCTTCTTAGACTGATTTCTGAAGGATCATGTGACACTGACTGGAGTAATGATGCTGAAAATTCAACTTTGACATCACAGGAATAAATTACATTTAAGTAATTATTAAAATGGAAAGCAGAAAGCTAATTTTAATTGCAATAATATTTCACAATATAGACATACTGTATTTTTGATTGAATGATGCAGCCTCAGAAGAGAAGACACTCTCAAAAACACTAAAAAATATTTTGCCAATCCCATAATTTTCAACGGTGTACATATGTCTAATCACAAACTCTTAAACTAAATGTGGTATCACGGTAATGTTTTTAAAAGGGTCTATAAATACTCATTTATTATTTTAATTTATGGTTATTTCTGATGTTGAAGAAAATTGGAGAGCAGATAAGAATACTGCTTATAGATGTCAGCTGATTTTCTGTCTAATATTTGTTAGTGATTGACCCACAACACACTGATGCGAGATGCAAGATGTATGTTTCTGTGATTCACACTCACTTGGTCGAGGCGGTGCACTGGAGGCCACCGTTAGCTGTGAGGGTCCAGTATTTGCCAGTGCAGGTCCTGAAGGCACACTTCTTCGTGTCCTTACTGATTTCCATCTGGAAGGTCTCCTGGTCACCTTCTTCATCCTGGTTGGCAGAGAGGTCCATGCCTGAGAAACACAAAAGCATACTGTGAAACCCATTATAAAAACCACCAAACCCCGGACTCTCACAATGCATCTTTGATCTGGATCAGGCACGCTGAGTGAGCAGAGACAGAGTTAACGCAGTTTAGGGATGATGATCTTTGCGATTACTTGACTAACGAGTGTTGAATGACAGGGACTATCACTCTGGCAATTGCTTTGGCCTCCTCACACACACTCTCTCTCTCTCTCACACACACACACACACACATACACAGAGTTAATCTCCTTAGGAATTTTGGACTGTCATATATGCCAGGATGCTTAGTGGGAGGCTTCAGGATAACAATAGGTCAATGCATCCGGTTTGTATTTTAGATTCATGAAGCTTGTTGAAAGACCAGACCACCAGTCCTCTACTGCAGGAAATGTAATTAAACTTCATTGTATGCATTTAGACAGACATTCATCAGATAAAGCTTGTATTTACGGTCTTAACCTCTTTAAAGAGGAAAACATAATTTAATGTCAGGATTTTGGAAGGAAATATTGGATACATTAAGGTAAACATCTATGAAATGACATGTAAGAGCCATAATTTTATTCATCTCTACTCTGAGATCCTCCAAAAAAGGTTGGTTGGAGAAAACTTTTAAAAACACTGTGGTTTATTCTTCAAATATACATGCATGCAATTCACCATGATTGCGTTCATGTTCCCATTTCACCAAGCTCCTAATACATCTACATGAAATTGCGTATTACCACCACCGTGGCCTGGCCTCAGGAAGGCGGATTGAGTTTCCACAGAAATATGCGTGCCTGAATGAGCAAGGAAAATAAATGACCAAGATGAGAAACACATGGCAGCAAATGGAAGATCTGCACAGGAGAGTGACTAAGACACCCGGAGACTTGCTCTAAATCAGTCTTGGGCAGGACAAGGGGGTGGGAAATTCCTTCAATCATTCTAAGGGAGGTACGTATCCTCAACCAGCATTTAAATGGTTTGGGAGGATCTTAAGCCACCAGCAGACACACCCCCAACCCCCATCGCTCGATTCATCCACACGACAACTGGAGGGAGTCTTTAACCTTGGCAGCAAAATATTGTAAAGATATTTAGGATGTTTTAGGTTGATTTCACAATTACAGTGAATTGCCAAACTCATCGGTCAAGCAGCTGCCATCATAAAGCAGCGAGGACAAACAATTCTCAAATGAACAAAATATAACGCAAGACACGGTTGGGAAATCATTTTAGCATTTATGGAATGACAGACATCCGATGTCCTTGCCACAAAGGAAGGAAAATCAGGCAAGCGAGCAGGGAGACTCCTAATCTTTTAAGACAGATGCATTTAAGCGAGAGTGTTTTTTTGTGCATGCTGAAATGGCTAAACTTGTGCATAGCGAGGCTCTATTGTTCTGCGTGCTGGGCTGCCTAAAAGACTCTCAGCAGCTGGGCTGCATGGTGAGCTGGGGCCCAGAGCATGCTGTCTTTGTTCTCCTTCTACCCTCAGCACACGCCTGAAATCTCGACCCCCTCGCACATTTTCTGAGGAAGGGCTCAAAGGAACATGCCACAAACATTGAACCTTGGGATTGTATCCCTGAAGGCAAATATTTGATTTAGGACAGCATGAATAGAGATGGGGGTCTCAGTGTAGAAAGATGTGATTTGGATGTTGTAGATCAAAATTAAGTCCAGATTGCTGTGAGCAATTGGCATAAACCACTATTGAAGATAGAAATCTTGCACTACCACAAGGCTAATCAAAATCACAAAACTAACAAAGGCTACATTTATGAAAGTAAGGACATATAGAAGAGCATATCATGACCTGCAGAGACCAAGTGCTTCCTGGCACAGGCCCAACACACTGGCACTGTCCTGCCTCATCCAGCAATACTGATAAACCAGAGCTGGGATTGCCAAATAAATCCCAGACATCCTCTCTTAACGATGCCTTTTTGTTTCAATTTAGCAGTTATTAAAACATAGCAGAACATCTCATTTCATTTTCATCAGTAATAGGGTAGTGGAGCTGTTATGGTGACACTGGAAATCGCAATATTTCACCAGTCCAGCTCTATATAATTTGATCCATTATTTCAGTCTGGCAGTCTCAGGTCAATTCCTCTGGGTGTTTACAGTAATGATTGCCTTCACTCTCAACTTAATTACAGTATGCTGGACTCTCCAAAATACAGCGTTATAGAATTAACAGAAGAATGATTGTGCAAAACTGCAGACAACGGTTTGAGTATGGATTTCATTCTCAGCTAACGTTTCTATTGTGGCAATAACCAGTGTACTGTAACCCACTGGGAGCCATCAGACAGAAAAATGGAAGCAAAATGGAACCTCACTTGAAGGCACAACCAGATTAACCATTAAAATATGGTTTAAGGAAACATTTGAGAGTGGACTAAACTGCAGCAAAGTGAAGCATATGGGTTTTTTTTCCATATGACTTTTTCCAGCATTTGCACTGATCCACCCCTGGGCTCTGCCTATATCCACACAGGAACCACAAGAGAGGGAAAAGAGTTGAATACCTATAATTAAGAATGAGCTCTAGATAATTATGGAGGATTTACAGGAACCCAACCCTGACTGATGATGCTCACATAAAATGGAATAGCATATCTCTTGCATAGATTAACTCATCATTAAGTATGAATAAATTAGCATCATGTACCTTGCCTGGTGGACACATTCCTGTCGTTGCCAGCGGTGAGGACCACTTGAGGGTGGCTCTGCTCCAGAACAAAAAGCTCGTCTTTGCCAACCTTCAAACTCTTGCCGGACTTCATGGTTCCACTGGGACCAGAGGGAGCCAGGTACTTCCCAGTGCAATCTCTGAAGACAACCTTCCCGGACCTGAACTCCAGAGTGTATCCCGTGGTCTTGTCGGGCTTCTGGGACAGGCTTCCGTCGTTCTTCAGGAAGCGGTTGTCGGAGGTCTGTAGGTGGTACCTCTGGTCCTGGAAGACCAAGGTGATGAGGGAATCAACGCCCCAGGGAACATCTCGGTCAATGGCGATCTCGTTCTGCTCAGAGCTCAAGTGCGCGTATCTTTTCCTGGTGAGGCTGAAGATGTTGACCTGCGGGTGCATGGCAATGTGCACGCTCCATTTCTCTGCGATGGAGATGGTCTGAGCGAAGCAGGTAATTCTGTCCTCGGTGCCGCCCAGGTAGCGCTTGTGAGGCTCAGACTGCAGTGACCAGCGCCCATCATCATGTGCAGTGATTACGAACCGACAATCCTCGCTCGGGGTCTCGCTGTCACCCGTGACGTTGCCGTCTTTGTCAGCTGCGATGTACCTCCCCAGATGGCTCTTCAGGTAGAACATGTTTGAGTCATCACCGTCCTGCTCCAAGGTCCAGATCTGTTTCTTCTTCATGCTGGTGGCTGATGCATTGATCTTGAAGCCGAACGTTTCAGCCGTGAGGTACTTGTTCCCACAATTGATCAATCCGAACTGGATTTTAAGCATGTCGCTGGTTCCGTTTTCAGTCATGTTTCCTGTTGGCCTTCCTGGTATGGGTTCTGCTGGTGCACTGTGGATGATGTTGATGGGTCTCTTTGTTTTAAAGGAGCGAGCGTGCGCGCGCCTCTGTCTTTGCAGCCTCACAGCGCGAGCGCACAGACACAGCTGTGGCTTTTATACACACGAGTGATGTCACGCGCGCCGTCCCGCCTCCATTCAGCACACTCACACATCCCAAATTAAGTTAGGAACAACAGATTTTGATAAAATGATCTCTTGTGGACGCGTTTAACATACTACTACTTTTCGAAATACAGGAGCGGTTCTAATGCGTAAAACAGACGCGAGCATCCTCCGAGACATCGAACTCTCGCGTGCACTTAACAATGAACATTCTCAAAAAGTGCTCACCCTCACGTCTTAACCAACCTGTTCAAACCACATTTATCTTAACTGGATGGACGAAAAAATATATCTCCTTTTGTGTTATACAGGCAGAAGACAGATATGCTGCTGAGTAAATAATGCAGAGCAGTAAGCATGTACACATTTTATTTTTAAAACGACAAATCACATAACAGATCTTGGAGTTGGATTTACATAAACCATGCATTTACATAATGTTCATGCTCCAGTGATATCTCTCAGCATTTGTTTTACTGCAGGAGGAATGCCACTTCACTGGCCAGTGAGAGGATGAGGAAAAACAATGCAGTGTTTATTCTGTACAAAGATATATTAGGCTGCACATGTTGGTCATTGGGTTCAGGAAGGTCTAGTCAAATAAACAGCAACTTCATCCAAATACCACTGGCACAGTTTCAACAGCAGCACACAGGCATGAGAAAATGATGCAGGACAAACATTCCACAGTGTCTTTGTCGTTTATATGATTCTTTCATATGATTCATCATCAATCGCATAATCCTAAAGAAATGCTTTACTGGCATTTACTACAGGAACTATGCAAAATGCAGTACTGTAAATACACAAGCACATTATAGCTTGTTTGAAAAATCCTACATGTAGGGGTGAATTCAGGGTGATTGGGACACTTTTTGCCTTTGAGATGACTTGGAAAAAATGTTCCAATCAAACTGAACTCACCCTATTTCAATAACACTATTTTAACATAAAAAGCTAAATTCTTTTATAAGATTATTTAATGAAATACATGCAAAGGAGAACATGTAACTGGATCAGACAATGAGTCACCTGCTTTATTTGCATGTCAGATTAGATATTTATCAGACATGGGAAAAAATGGGAATTATGGTGTTGGCTTCCCATAACAGTATTCATTTTGTATGGTTATTTATATTTATTCAGCTTTGGAGCAGTTCAAATATCTCTGAAAAGTATAGTGGATTCTGGTGTATAATTACGAGGTAGATAAGAAAAAAAAAACGGGTGAATGTGTGAGTGAAAGATAACACATTTTCAGATGGGAAATAAAAATGATCCTGCCCAGTGTGTTGCTGCAAAACATCAAATTGCGCACCCTTTAGAAAACCAATGACCGCTTCATCACCATATTCACTGTTGTACACATCCATAGAATATTCTTAAAATCATGTTTTATTCCATACTGTTTTTATTTTATTTTTTTTATTTGTATTCATATTAGTGCCATTTTATTTTTTTCACCTTTTCTGTAGTGCTTTGGTAATATTGTTATATTGTGTGTAAAAGCAATCATTTCCATAAAGACAGAAGGAGCAAGAAAGAGAGATGAAATCTACAACTTCCAGTCAACTGTAATTTAGCTTCCATTACTTGGGGTGATTAACGAGCTGAGAATGGCCGTCTACTTCACACAAATGTAAAAGGAAGTGCCCATTTAGCAAAGCCATCTCCTTTTAGATCCTCATGCATAATGGCGGACAGTTATGGCATTTGTCTAGGGTGATGTTTACCTAAAGAGATTGTGCAAATCACTTCGTCTACCACACAGAATTTCACCTTAATCCTTCCAAAAGCTGTTGGATTCAGAACGAATGGGAATCTCTCTGCATTTCTAAGTGAAGGCTATCTTTGTTAACAGTGTGAAGCCACAGAGCAGTTGCCATGGAGACAATGCTCCAATCTGCTGTGCTAAAATAAACCAAGGTCTGCAGCGTTAGCACACTGAAAGCTGATCACAGCAAAGCAGACACAACAGGACTCTCAGACACTGAATCTGTAGAAAGCAACGGCATATTGGTCAAAGCATCTTACCAGTGGTTCTTGTATCAATAACATTTACCCTTAAGTTAGGCTTAAGCTAGTCCCAGACTAAAATGCATGTTTGAGCTGTTTCAACTGAAAGCAACTTGCACTGACATATCTTAAAATAAGTCAATGCCATTGTTTTGTCTCAGGATGCACAGCAGTAATGTTTTTTTTTGTAATGTTAATGTTTCTAAGGCTCAATCCTGGCTTAATCTAAACCCTGTCTGTGAAACCAGGCCAATGTGTTTTAAATGGGAGTTCGTATCATAATCCCCTTCATCCTCATATCATCCTGCAATTAACATTTAAGGAGGAAGTTTTAAACCTTAATAAAAGCCTCAATAAGCACACTGAGAAAAACAAACAGGCCTATATTAAGTAAGCGGAGCAACTAAGCACTGACTGTGGCCCAGCTGTGCATAATGTTCTGTCTGATCCAGACAGAGTCTTTTGTGTGCTGAGAGCGGCAGAGCGGGGTGGGCATGACTGCTGATGTGAGGCTGACTTTGCAGATGCCTGAAGCCACGCGGCATGGCAACAGCACACAAACTCACATTCAACCCACTCTCTCTCTCTCTCTCTCTCTCCAAACAGCAGATGTGCACATGGAAATCTTTTGAAACATTTTCTATTGCCTCTGTCTCACTTGAAGAAGACGAGGAAGAGGTGCAGTGCCCGGCGTTTTGATGCCACGCTGCAGTACTGCGTCAGTATGCGACCTGGCAGCTCTCTGAGCAGATGCAGACTCACATCCTTGACACTCACACCCCTCTGGAGCCCAGCCAATCAGACGCAGCCTCATGTAGCCCCTCCCTCTAAGTGAAACCATCAGAGTCTGCATTACAGAGCTTCTTTGTGTTCACCATGATGAGTAATTTCAAATTTCAGCAGTACATTTAGCTTCTGGGCACTAGAGCCTTCACGAGTTGACAAAGTAAGCAAAACAGTTGTTACTGTGCACTTCTGTCTTTGCATGTGCTCTAATAATAGTGATTGTGTTACAATAAACACAGCATATGCACATTAGCTCATATGTTGTTTAAATGTTCCTTTACAACAAAACATGAAACAATAGTCAAACTTGCTAAGATGATTTACAGTGGGCGCAAAAATTTTTTGGACACGTGGATTAAGGTGTGGTTCAACGCGTGAAGGACATATTCCACAAAGTTTGAGCACCAAAAATGTTTACATACATTTTTGTCCTAATTTTGAATATAGCAAATATTTTATCATCTAAAAACTTGCTTGGAAAGTGTGTTTGCGTTCTCTTTCCCTATGAAAAAGAAGTGCACTTAATTGTATTGAATGTGCACTTGCAGTGTAGTTTAAATCTTAAAAGAATATTTTTACAAAACTGTACTTGCAGAAAGTGTATTATTAATGAAATAAAGGTCACTTGAGTGTACTTAACAAGAGAGTTTTCATGACTGTTTCTTAACACACTTTTTAAAAGTTAAATCTTGTACATTTTAAATCATTATAATACTCTTGTCATGATTTAAGAAGTACATTTATTTTGAAGTGTTGACTAACATACTAACGCACATGTAAAATATTAGATTAACTTTAACTGTAGTGTTATTTGATATTACATTTACAGTTAATATATTTTAAAAACTGTACTAAAACCGTGTAATTACAAATATATTTAAATAAGACACAAGTTTCGACGGAAAAAATTAACATCAAAGTATATTTTAGTTTACCATAAATGCTTGTAAGTAATTAAGAAAGTACATATAAAAATACTTAAGTCCTACTTAATTTGGGGGGAGAATCACTCTCATCACTCAAAGTTCACCTATTTGTATTTAATATAAATGTATATTATAATACATTTTCATTTAATTGCAATTAACATGAAATGAAGTGTCCAAAAACATTACATTAAGTTTGCATTTGCGTATATTCCTTTATTATTTCCATCGTTTTTTAAAGTATGCTGAAGTGTATTTCTTTTTCACAAGGGTTTAAATACCACTTGGTTTTGATATTTTGTAATGCAATCCCATTCATACATTTTTAAATTGTTCCTAAATCTGTCCAAATATGGCTGGGCTCACTGTATAGCCAGTCACTTATCAGACTAGAGCACATAGACTGAAAGGCATCCTGAAACATCACGTGTACTGTGGATCTTTGTTGCACGTCAGCCTCTGGCTCAATAGCCCTTATTTTTGGACCAAACCACAGTGGAAGAATCTAAGAGGATGTTAAGGGATGTTTCCTGCATGGGCGTGTGTTTCTGCCACACTTCCTCTTAACTCAGGTTAGGTGACTTAGCAAGGCAAATCAGACAGAAACACATCAGAAGGTCACTGACCCAAATGCAGTGCTTAAGAGCAGTCTTTTTCCTCTCGGCTCTCACAACTCCTGTCTCCTCCTCTCAGCTGACTGAACACTGACTGCCCTGTTTCCCACAGATCTGAGCTGTGGAAAGTTTGCACTGACTCACTGACCTACATACAGTACAGCCAGCGAGATGCTCTTTGTGGGTTAGGAATTGAAAGCAGTTGGCTCACACCTATACAACATGATGATCTGGCACAGGCAACTTGATTACATTAAGCTAGAGCTAGTTATGGTTTTACAATTTGTACTAAACCTAGATGTTTTCATGTTTGTATTCATCATTAAGTTTTATAAGAGCCCCAGATTTATACTATGCACAAAATAATATTAATAATAACGAGGCAACGAGGCAGATTTTCTGATGACTAATCCACATGCTGGAGACTGTGGAATGACGTTGTTTTGGGCACCGGAAGAAGCAGAGGGAGTCCAGGGATGGGGTGAGGGGAGCAGGATTGCATTGATTATAAACATTGATTATAAGAAATGTTTGAGCATCAAATCATCATATTAGAATGATTTTTAAAGGATCATGTGACACTGAAGAATGGAGAAATGATGCTGAAAATTCAGCTTTTACATCACAGGAATAAATTACACTTTAAAATATATAAATAGAAAAAATTGTTTTATACTGTAACAATATTTAACAATATTAGTGTTTCTATAGTTTTTCTGATCAAACCCATGCAGCCTTGGTGAGCATAAGAGACTTTTTCAAAACCATTAAAAATGTTACTGGCTTTAATCTATTGAACAGTAGTGTATGTTAGGTTGGGATTTGAATTCCTGTCTGGATCTCCTTGCACACTATCAGCAGTATGACTACATAACACATCTGACACACATGATTGCTTAGATTATGTTTTATCTTGCCTAGGGAATCAAGTGAGCCGGCTACAACTGGAGCACCCACAAAACCAGCTGCATGACACCCCTAATTATATGTATCAGCTTTATCTAATTAAATGCACCAAGTCGCAAACAATCCACAATGTTATACCAGTCAAAAACAATGCCACCTAATCAGAATGGTATTCAAAAGTGAAGAATGGTACTGATTTGTTTAGTTCTGAGCAGCAGCACTGGATGTACTGCTTTCCAAATGCAGCTCCTTCATCACGGCCTCCACTGCTCAACAAAGAGGCATGCCCGAAACCACTGGGGAGCTCTCCACCCCTCCAGAGGCTGGGGTTAAAGGTCACAGGCTTGTTTTTGTGGAGGCCCCAAGTCTGCTAGAGCACTTGCCTCCTCTTTCCCTCCTGCCATTGTCATGCCGGCAGGAAAACGGTTGCTCTGCCTGAGCCAAAAGCAGCAAAGCCGGCAGAAAAAAAAAAGCAAAGCTTCTCCAAAGGGAGAGGCGGCGGGACTGAGTGAGTGTCCTGTTTAATTCATCACTCCAGCAGCGGTGGGTTAGCCCCTCCACCCAGACTGCAGTACTCCGACTGAAGTGCTGAATAACTGACGGGGCTGCCCTACATCTGCAGCAGGGGCTCCTGAGTGCGGCGTGAGCGAGTCTGAGACAGCGCTAGAGATTACGCTCCGAGCAGGCAGATATAGGTCAGTCAGACCCTGAGACAGGGCAGCAAGGGAGGAGGAAAGGCGGTCGTGCTGCAGAGATGAGGAGAGAGTGAGGGGAGGGGTGACTGCAGTGTGCGACACTGACCGCATGAACTAGTAAATGCGCGAGCCCGTCGGAAGGTGGCTTCATGTGCCTGCAGATGCAAATCTTCCTCAATATCAAGACTCAGCACACAGGCATTTTATGAGGACGTCGAGCATAATCGCCTTTCCCGACCCTGCTCCACTTCAGTAAATTAAATTTCATGACACACAAAAAGGGCCGTTGCATGGATTACAGTGCTGACATCATCAAACAAAGCTATACAAGGAGCCTGAGACTGTGATGTCTGATTCGGCAGATGGATAATATTGTACATATAGCAGACATTATTAAACTGAAGTACATTTGTTGTTTTTCTGCGGTTTTATATGACATTTTCTTAAAAAGAAGTTTGTTTAAACTAATGTTTAGTACATTCTCACATATTATACTAGCCTAACCATTCTTAAGTTCATTCAGGAAGGATATCGTTTGCCGTTACATTCCTAATCCAGGTTGTTAGGACTATATAAACAAATAAATCCACTTACGATTTAATGAATGGTTTTCTTATCAGCACAGCTGTTTTTGAGACTTGCTGATTGCATACTCCTAATAGAAAGATAAAGTAGATCCCATGGTGTGAGAGATAAGGTGATCATTCTGTGTCCAAATAAACTGAGAAAACTGTTGCCAGTGAAATCATTGCCAAAAGAGAATAGGAAAACAATGACATGTCTACAGTATTTTATTTAATCACACAATTCAAAGATGCATATGGTGGGATCTAAACGTCTGGGACCACTTCCATTTACATTCCATTCCATGCTTCCATTTTGCATCGTTATCATTTAATTCATTTTTCTTTTCCATTACAAAACATACAAACAAATGTATGTGTTATTATTTGGATTGTCCCTCTTTGTCTTCCCTCTCAATGACAGCAGTACTTGATCTGCATGAGTTTGTGTAAAATCTGAAGATGATGTTCTCCAGCATGATTTGGGATAAATTGGAAAGAGCATCTTGAGCTTCAATGGATGAAGAACATCTGGCCGTCAGTACAGAGAGTGGAAACCAGGAAACCAGGTTGAGTTTATGTGGAAACCAGGTTGAGTTTATGTCCTCAGCCCTGGTATCCAGTGTGGATGATCTGTCAATGGTTCCCTCCTGTGAATCCCCCCCACCACCACAACCACCTCCTCCTCCAGATCAGCCTGCACTCCCCCGCCTGCAGAGCCCATTAGATGCCCCACATGAAAGCCTCTGAATGGGCTCTTTCAGATTAGCACTGATCCCACATTGTTTATGCGGAGTAATTAGGAGCACACAGGAAAGCCCGGAGGTTAATTACAAAAGACTGGATTAAAGTCATATCTCTGTCATGCCTAAACAAGCAATGCACTACAATGCACTCAGCGACCCCAAACTATTTTTCTTGTTGCATCCTATGTTTTCTGTTGTCCATAGTTTGATATTTCTGCGCAATTTCTGCAAAACTATGTTCAAGTGTATGCATTGAGATCAGAACAATACACATCACCTTTAAAAAGATACCAATATTCAAAATTTAGAACTGTAAAATGACACGTTTCTATCACTGACAGGATATCATTTTTTTTTTATCTTTGCCTATTTTAAAACATTCAACTATACATTTCTAAAACTGCTGGTTTTTTTAAATGGATAGTTCAACCCAAAATGAAATTGGTTCATCATTTACTCACCTTCATATCATTTAAGAATTTATTTCTTCTGCAGAGAATAAAATAAAGATATGTTGAAGAATGCTGGTAACCTATCAAGTTTAGTGATCACTGACTTCCATTGTATGGGCAAAATACTAAAACTTTTCTCAAAATATCTTCTTTTACGTTCCACAGAAGAAAGAAAGTCTGGAACAACATGAGGGTGAGTGATGGCAGAATTTTAATTTCTGGGTAGATTATCCCTTTAACATGACTGGCAGTTCCTAATTACATCCGAGTATCAAGTGAGACCCACTCCCTCAGGTTTTACTCACGCACAGCAGATTTTCCGGATGAATGAAACCAGAGAGGGTCAAATCAAACGGGGCTGCGCCACATGTGAACAAATAAAACACAACTCTGCTCTCCTCCTTGGCCCTGGATCCCCTTACACGCTGTCCTTGGCTCCATTGATCTTCATGTGCAGAGTGTGTCAGAGGGATGAAGAACAGGATCTGAGGAGCTGGAATGCATGTCCTCGAAGCTGCTGATATAGAGATGATAGAGCTATCATCAGCTCAAGGTCAGGGTGGCAGTAAAACACAGACAATAACCTTTAACAGTTAGTTGATGCATGATGTGTCATTATTAAGAAGAAATTACAAATAACCATTAGGCTAAGCTCCATTATTGACAATAAAATACAATGCAATCACAATGTCTGACTGAACCAGTCACACTGACATGGTTTCCATTTGGGTGCAGCGTCATGTGGATTTTGTGGCTGACTGGGGCTCTGCGGGGCCCTCTACCGACCCTTTAGTGCAACTGCATCACTTATAATTACTGCCAGGCCACATGCCTGAATACCAAGGACCCAAGAAGTATTTGGACACTTAAGTCACACACACACACACACACACACAAAAATGCAACAATGTTATTACTCTGCTATAGGACATCTGTGTAAACTTGATGGGAAATAACTTCATACATGTACTAAAATCCCATTGAGACCAGTTGATTACGTTACTTTGTAAGAAAAGTTGAAATAGTACAAAGGAAAGCTCTAAAGTCATTTGTGGCAGATACCATTTTATTTGATGCATTATTATCTAATGCAACACCATTTATACGTTTAAAGTGTGGTGCATATTGGGGTAGTTGTATGTAAAATGTTTTAAAACTAAATTGGTATATAATTTTAATAAAATATTGTGCATAACATGTCTAAATATATATGCATGCATTCAGTCAGTTTCGCTGCATGTTCATTTGATAATATCAAGCGAGCCCTATAACATCAACTGCCATTCATGCTGTGAATGAGGACTATGAATGACAAATCTACTTTTTGAGGTGTAACCAAAGCCTTCACATCATGTGCTTGTCTGAAGATTCCCGCTGGCTTCCCTCCCCCTCTGTCCTCACTCAGCTCTCTGTCTCCACGGGGTAAATAAGGTATTTTATATGCTAATGATATGCTCTTGTCCAACAAAGAGCTTCTGCTCTCATGTGGGGACTGATTCTTTAGGCCATTCACAACCAGCTGTTTGCTCTCTTTCTCCACACATATTGGGCCAGTTGTTAGAAATGAAATTAAACTAAATATTTAAGAACCAGATTATAGCAGCACTAAAGAAGATGCCAAGGAGATTTTATTTAAAACTGTCTCAATTATTGAAGCTGTCTTCTCAACATTGTAATGTTTTAATTCTCTATCATGAATAAAAATGATATTATCATTGACACTGATGCCAGTCAGAGTCTCTTATCAAGTGTCATATCCTTTATATGTGGGGACACAAACCATCTGTTCAGAGTGATGTTTCATTAACATCTGGCACAGATGGCCAAACACATACTGATATCAGAGAACAATCTGCAAGGTTCATGTCCATTGTCTCATTTTGGCAGACACTCTTTTGGATGCTGATTGTTTACTGTGAAACTGTGCCAAAATCCCTTTCTCTATATTAGGGTTGTCTTCGAACAGTTCTCTGAAATAAAACAACAACAACAACTACAACAAATATGCATGAAAATATGAACAAAACGTTAAAATAGAAGCCTATAAGATGTCCTAAAGCTATTAACCAGCCCACCATGTAGCCCACCCATGCTTTCCACATGTATCAGAGAGCAGTGAGGGTGACCAGCGGCCAGCTGTAGGCCTGTAGGTTGAAGCTGGTGAAGGAAAGTGGCCTGCAGACACCACCCTCTCATCTCATGCTGAGCCAAGTCTTTGTGATCTGAGATCCCGGCTTACCACTGCCCATCTGTCCAGCTCCCAAAAACACACATTCGCTCATTCATTAGTCAAACCGCAATCTGCTTTCCGTGGCACACATCTACCTGGCTCCAGTCCATATGTGTTATCATCATATCCCATCAGAGAAACAACATTTGGTCAAAGGGAAGATCCGAGTAGGCTACTTGAAAAAAAAGAAGAGCACAGCCAGTCTCCTTGCATACAAAACTGATGGTTTATGAAATATACGTCAAATTTGAGTGTATTTTAATTTTGGGATGAATCATAGAATAAATGCTCTGAAGGAAGAATTCTGCCATCTATCTGTGGAGAAGTGCTACTGGCAGAGTTGACTGCAGCTTTCTTCTACAATGAGATAGAGATGTGCTTTACTATTTAGGCCTTTGCTTAAAACCCTCTCACCGATTCAGGTTTAAATTCTAGTGACAAGGACAAAATGCTACCTTGTCGGGAATACAAAGTGCTGAGAAATAATACTTATTTAAATCCTGTGTCAAATCAAAGTATTTGACTAAAAACATACTCAACATAAAATGTGTACTTTGTACTTTGAAAAAAATTATACATCCGGTTATTTCATTTATTATTATTATAGGACGAGACATAGTAGGACAATATATAAAAAGACAACATCCTGTAAACAGAATGAAACCAACAAAGACAGTAGGTTTTACATGTGATAAGTGTGGGTCTGAGTTTGTATATCTCTATTCGATCTGTATCTATATGTAAAGAAGAGTGGAAACAAGAAATGCTCCCCTTTCAAAGTTTTTTTCTCTAGATAGCGCAGCGTTCCTCACTGATATTAATCGCAGGAAACACAAACAAATATTTAAATGTGTTATTTCAACCTCCTCTTCCCTTGAACTGGCCCAAATATTCCATCCGCTATACGGAAATATCATCTAATATGCATATTAGACCCATTGGAAGTCTTCATGTTCATGGTTCTAGCTGGTCAAACTCCATTTTTAATCATATGACTGATTTCTCTTTGGAACAGGATGAGAGAGAAGAGAGGAAAAGGAGAGACAGATAAAGTAGAAAGAGAGAGATGGAAAAAAACAGGATAAAGATTTCCATATATTTTGCCAATTACCTGCTGTCAACCTTCAATTACCTTTTTAGGCAGTGTGCGTGTGTTTAAGGCATAGGTGGGATGAGGGTAGTGCTAGCTTACCTGTAGTAAACACAAGTCAACGGGATGGCTAATAAGATTAGGGGATTGTGGCTTCCCCCAGCTCCATTCAAACAGTCATAAAGTAAAGCAATGTGGCAGCTAATTAGCTGGGACTGGCTCCAAGAGGGAAACCTGTCTGTGGTTACCTGGCCTGAGCTCCTGGCTCTCTCCGCCCCTCCCATCATGCCCACAGACTGGATTTCCTTTTTAGGGCATAGCTGTCACAGACCTTCAGCAGGCTCCTTGCTTCCTTTATATTCAAGTATCCTTTGTCATCTCTCTCTCTTTCTGTCAGAATCTGTCAAAGTTTCAGAAACATACAATTTAAGATATTTGATGCTAATTTCAAGTTTTATTGGTATGGTAAACCACTCAGAAAAGTGATTGATGCAGCAGCTGTAATTGATAGTACATTTGTTTAAATGTATAAAAAAAAAAAAAAAATTTACAATAAAACTAGTTGTGTGTAGTACAAAATATGATATATTTGATTAATTTGATAGTATATATGTGAATATATCTTTATAAATTGAACACACTTGATGCACATTCTTTATTCGTCATTTAGTAAAAGTAGAGTTAAAACACCTTTTTTGTAGAAAATGGACATGGCCATCTTGCTCAGAACAAACTGATTTGAACACACCTGACATCATAATTACGAATTCCCAGCTCGTAAATACAAACTTTCCAGGATGACTTGAACGCACCTGATCACAGATATTCAGAGAAAAAATGATTTTTGAAAGTGATTTAATCAACAGTTCGTCTGTAACTGCCATCAATCTGTAAAATCCTCAAAGTATATCAAAATGTAAGTGAAATATACAGAACTTTTTCTAAATGTACAGAACTTCATGAGATAAACAAAATAAATGAATAATATAACATAATATAGTACACTATTTGTTGAAGTGTTCACTTAGGGCAAATTTCTTCCAAATCCTTTTCATATTTTAAGTGCATATTTAGCCTATGACTATTGTCCCTATACTATATCACTATCACAGTCACACTCCTGTTCCAGGGCCTTTAGCCCCAGGTTGCCTTTGCATTCACATGATTTGTAATCAAAACAAACTTATTCAGCTCTTTCCTTGACACAAATGGTGATGTTTCATCAATATTCAATAAGAAAACTCTCTCTGCAAATTAATATTTCATTTAAACATTCATGACCACCATCCACACTTTACATGACGGGTTTCCCAGAGTGCTCTTTTTCCTTTCTTACAGGAAGCAATATTTACAGAGTCAAAAACAGGTGAAGTGACGTCAGCCCTCATCCAGTAAACAGAGTATCAGCCAGTCAGTCACACATAAAGAGCTGTGGTGGGGATGGGCACACAGTATGAACACAGACCCTCCCAGACTTGGTCCAGGAAAATAAATGCTTTTCTATGGCTTAGCAAGATTATCGCTGCAGTCAAGGTACCCTTAAAGGCCTCTGACTGACCCTCTATTGCCTGCGGCAGTTGGCTTGACTGTGTTTTTAGGGAGGGAGGAAGAGAATGAAATGCTGCTGAAAGAGAGGGGATAAGGGTGGAGAGGCGTCCCAGTGCAGAGGCAGAGCTAATAGAGAGAGAGGGTAGGCAAAGGGCCAGCCAGAATACTAAATGTCTCAATTGTAATACCCTAGAAAACAGCAGAGCCCCTAAAAACAGGCGTGCCTCCCCTTTTTCGAATTGTTCATGCACTGGAAAGAGTGCTTACCAGAGAAGGCGCGTGAAAAGCTGGTTGCATTACAGTCAAAAAGTAGGTCATGATATGGAAGATTCAGTTTGAGCTTTAACAAAGTCTGAATGTGAAAAATTAATAGCCTTAAATCCTGGATAGCGTAAATCAAATAATTAGACTTAAATGCTAAGCCCCCACTTGAATGCATGATTCCTGACCTGCAAGTCAGTGAGGTTTAAAGCTTTCTAAATATCAGGAGCCTTTATGTGCACTTTGCAGCCTCATTACATGGTTAACGGGCCCGGGTCTTCCAGCTGTGTAAAACGAACGTTATGTAACATGAGGAAAGGGGGATGTTATTCCTGACCTACATTCTGTATGTATGCCTGCACTGAGGGATGTCTTGAACTATAGTGCTCACTCTCAGACTGTTTTTAAACACTGTTTAGTCACATCATTTGGAGACCTTAAAAAAAAGTTCTTAAAGAAAAAAAATCTTATTTTTGGATCCATTAAAGTATTATTTGTGTGTGCGTGTTTTTTTCTCTTTTTTTTTTTGACTGGCTATGAGCTGTATGTGTTTTTTTTTTATTAAACACTAATCAGGTTTATATGGAAGCTTGTCTCCTCCACAGAAAAGGTAATTGTGACTTTTTATCTCACAATTCTGACTTTATTACTCACACTTCTGAGTTTATATCTCACAATTGTGAGTAAAAATAAAAATGTGTTATGTACTCTGAATTGCAAAAAAGTCAGAACTGTGAGATAAAAAGCT